GAACTACCAGAAATTAATTTTAAAGTAATTATGTTTAGGTGTCTTCAAAAGATGTGGGAAATGCTTTTGAGTATAACCAAAAAATGAAATATAAAAACTTGAAACAATCAACAAAAAGAACACCAGACTATAAATAATAAGCCAACAGAATCAGACAGCAAGGTCAAATACCTAAGAAATTGAAATGAAGAAAAATAAAGTTGAATCGGTGAATTGGAAGAAAATTACTCAGACTACAATTGATGAGAGAAACAATCAACCAAAAAATCAAATGAATCCAAAGAAATCCTAATAATGATTGGGGGACACTATCCAGAGAAACGATTAGCACCTCATCAAGATCCTGGAGCAAGAAGAAACAAATGAACAAAAAAAACTATAAAGAAATAAGTACTAGAATTCATGGAAGAAAACTTTAGCAACATCACAAAGGTGAAGAAAATAACTATTCAAGAAGCTGAGAGAATTTCAAACAGATAAAGTCCAAAAGAAAATCATAATGACATGTGCCAAACCCATCAATCTCAAGGAAATGGAGAGAATCCTGAGTGCAGCTAGCAAAAATGTATAGCCATCTAAAAAGTAAAGCCCACAAGGAAAAGCACAGAGTTATCAGCAGAAGCTATGCAGACAAGAAGACAATGGTGTGGCATACACAACATTATGAAAGAAAAACTGCCAATTAAGAATTCTATGTCTAGTAAAATTATGCCTCAAATATGAGGGAAAATTGAAGGTATTTCCAGACTCTCCCCCCAAAATTGGAGTCACAAAACAAGATACACACACACACTCACACACATACAAGATCCCTGTGGACCGAGATTCCACAATAAGAGCAGACAAACCTGAGACAACATATAGAACATCACATCATATAGACCACACAACATATAGAACATCACACCAGAAACCAATTCAATGAAAGAAACACTCAAAACAACACAGAAGAAGAGGAGGCACTAAACACCAATAAAATCACAGAAAAAGGAAAAGAAACCAATAGTCTAACACAAATACAGCAAAATGACAGCAACAAACCTGCCTGTAACAATAAAGACATTGAGTGTAAATGAAATAAATGCACCAATCCAAAGGCACAGAATAGTAGACTGGATTAGAAAACAAGACTCATCTATATGCTGCCTACAAGAGACATACGTAAATTCAAAGATGAAAATGGACTAAAAATCAAAGGATTGAAAAAAATCTATCGAGTCAATGGGAACCATAAAAAAGCAGGAGTGGTAACATAGATCTCTAATAAAATAGAATTCAAGGCAAATAGAAGAATGAGAGACAAGACTGGACCCTACATAATGATTGAAAGAATCATAAATGAATAAAATATAACCATAATGAATACTCCCAATGAAAGACCCTCAAAATCTATCAATCAATCTTCATAGAGTTGGAAAGAAAAATAGTTCAACAATAATAGTATGAAACTTCAGTACATTACTCTCAAGATAAGACAGATGATCAGGAAAGAAATCCAATGGAGAAACAGAGCTAAACAATGCAATCAAGCAGCTTGAATTCTTAGACACATATAGAACACATTGCCTGACAACATAACAATACACATTCTTCTCCTGCACATATTTTGTATAACCTAGAATATACTACATGTTAAGTCACAAAAAAACCTTAATAAATTAAAAAACATTGAGATCCTACAATCCATTTTCTCAGAACACAATTCTATAAAACTTGAAGTCAACAATGGAACGAACAAGAACACAGACAAATGGACACTGAACAACATACTACTTAAAAACGATCAAGTAAGGAATAAATTAAGAGATCCCTTGAAACAAACAAGAATGATAACACACTATACCAAAACTTTTGTAACAAAAGTTACAAAACAAAATCAGTTTTCAGCAGGCAATTTATAACAATCAAAGCACATGAAAAAGGAGGAGAAATCCCAAATCAATACCTTAACACAACACCTCCACCAGCTAGAACAAGGGCAATAACATAAATACTCCAACAATAGAAGAAAAGAAATAATAAAATTAAGAGCATATATAAACTGGAAAACAAAAACAATGGGAAAAAAGTCAACAAGACAAGAAGTTATTTGAAAAGATAAATAAAATTGACACACAACTGGAAAATTAACAAAGGTAAACCAACAACCAAATTCATTGAGTTAATGCTTTCTCATAGTTTCCCCC